AGCTATTGAGCGGCCATGAAACTAGACGAGAATAGCGGGGATGGAAAGGCAGTGCTGGCGTTATTGAATAAAAATACCTCTGGTGGGGGTGCTGTCAGTGAAGCAGCCCAGAAGGAGATTGAAAGCCTCCGCAGTGACTTGGAGGAGGAGCGCGTCAAGTGTGAAAAACTTGTGCAGTCCAAGGAGGCGCAGCAAGTGGAACTGAAGGCTCTACGACAGGAAGTAGCGGAAAGTGAACGCCGCTACGTGGATTTGGAGGGGAAAATGAATGAGATGGTGAGTGACTACGAGCGGCAGTTGGCAAATGCACATGGCAGCACGGAGAAGATAGCCGATCTGACGGCACGGTTGAAGGAACGCACAGACCAGCTCGATCAGATGCGCGGCCTTCTTGAGAAGCAAAAGGCGCTTATTGTGAAGAGCAACGAGAAGTGCGAGTACCTTCAGCAGAAGTTGCGGGAGGTCAACGCGAGAGCTGAGCGGACGGAGGAAATATACCGGCAGAAGCTCCAGGAGCGTGACGAGAAATTTCAGAGTGTGTTGAATCAGCGGCTTGAGGAGTACGCACAGGACCACCACGACGACGTCACGAAGCAGGAGGAGAAGTCCAAGAAGCTCCGAAAGAAGATTAAGAAGATAGAGAACGAGGTTGACCGCCTGAAGGAGGAATACGACTGCAAGGTCTGCGAGTGTGAGGACCTGCGCAACACCATCGAGGAGCAGAAGGTTGAGTTGATGCGGCTGCTGCGGCGCATGGGGCAGACGGAGGAGGAAGCGGAAGTGTACGAGAAGAAGGAAAAGATTCAAACTGCATTGGAGCGTGCAAAGGAGGAGCAGCGGCGCAAGAAGGACCTCTTTGCCCTCGGTGAGGTGGCCAACGTGCGGCGTGGCGAGTACTGAAACTTCCAGTAAGAGAGAAAAAGGAAAGAAGGAGAGGAAAAGGGGGAGTGGGGATGGAGGCCTCTTTCTTCCTCTTTTTTTTTTTTCCAACGGTATTGATAACCCACAAAGTCATTTTGTTTTTCTTGTTTTTGTTTCTTGCCCGGATCCTTACGAATGACACATATGGGCACGGATAGACGGATGTATACATGTATATATAATATACATATTATATATGTATATATGCGGTTTATTGCTACTCTCTTCTTTTTTTTTTTTTTTTTTTTTTCGCTACAACGAGTATGCATATCCGTCTGTGTGTGTGTGTTTATATGTATATGTATATATTATATATATATATATATACATGGGCACCTTTATATGACTTCTGTGCATATGAAGCAAATTTTTAGTCTTTTCTCTTGTATTTTGTGTCTGTGTGTGTGTGTGTGTGTGTGTCTGGTCTAAACTGGACAGCAGTTTTATGCTTGGATTGTAGTCATGTCAGTAGTTGCGACAATTCATACGAAAGAGCAACAAAAAAAAAAGAAGGAACAAAAGGAAAAAAGAAAAGGGAAGGATGGGAGGGGGTAATAAGGAAGAAGAAAAGAAAGTTTTGCAACACGTGCATTATAGCATGACGAAACAAAAAAAAAAAACTGAGGAAAGGGACGATCGAAAGCAAAGAGAAATATAAATGAAAGAAAGAGAGTATGTGTGTGTGTGTGTGTGTGTGTGTGTGTGTGTGAAAGAAAGAAATATAATCAGTTTTTTGTTTGTTTGTTTGTTTGTTTTTTGTTTTTTTTTTTTTTCTGTGTTTGTGTTTCCTGTCAATTTTAGTGTGTGCATGTATATGTATTGCTGAGGGTTTTTTGCCTCCTTTGTTCCTTTCGGTTTCTTTTTTTTTTTCTTTTTCTCACTGCATGGAAGGTGTGGCCTCCCCCTTTTTATGCCTCAGTACCGGCTGCTGCTGCTGCTGCTGCTGCCTCTTTCTGCATGTGTTTGGCATTAATTTCCTTTTTCATTTCTCTCTCTCTCTTTTTTTCTTTTTTTTTTTTTCTGTTTATGTGTGCTGGTGGGTAAGAGTGACTCTTTGGTTTTTGCTTTTTTTTTTTTTTTTTTTTTTCAAGAATGTCCGTCAGCGGCGTGGGGTCCATCCCGGTGGCGCTTACTTATGATGACGTCCTGCTCGTTCCACAAAAAAGTCCTGTGCGTTCCCGCAAAGATGTGAGCACCACAACCCGCCTTTCGCGCAATATAAAGCTGCATATACCCATTGTGGCAAGCAACATGGACACGGTGTGTGAGCACCAGACGGCGATCGCAATGGCACGTGAGGGAGGCATTGGCATACTGCATCGCTTTTGCAGCATTCGGGAGCAGTGCGAGATGCTGTCAAAGGTGAAGCGTGCACAGTCCTTCCTGATTGAGAATCCTCGCATGATCATGGCGCATCAAACGCAGGAGGAGGCTCTCCAGGGTCTGCAGTGGAAGGGGCGGAAAGGCGGTGTCAGTTGTCTCATGGTCGTCGAGGACTTCTCCACAAGAAAACTGCTCGGTATCGTTTCAAAGAATGACTTGCACTTTGCGGATGCGAATGAGCCGGTTTCGAAGCTTATGACCCCGCTTGAGCGGCTGGTGGTGTCAACAAACACGGCCATCACGTTGGAGGAAGCGCGGGAAATGATGCGGGAACACCGCACATTCAATATTCCGATTCTTGGAAAGGACAATGCGCTTATTTACCTGGTAACCCTCTCCGATGTTTTGAAACTCACGGGGAAAAAGTACGCCTCGCTCGATGCCCGCGGCCGTCTTCTCGTCGGTGCAGCCGTAGGTGTAAAGAAGGAAGATATTACGCGCGCCGCAAAGCTGGTGGAAGCTGGCGCGGACGTGCTCGTGGTGGACATTGCCCATGGCCACAGCAGCATATGCATCGACATGATAAAAAAACTCAAGACGGATCCTAGGACAAATAAAGTTGACATCGTGGCGGGAAATATTGCGACAGGCGAGGCGGCGGCGGAGCTCATACTTGCTGGGGCCGATGGTTTGAAGATTGGTGTGGGACCTGGCAGTATTTGCACCACCCGTCTTGTCGCGGGCTCCGGTGTGCCGCAGCTCAGTGCCGTGATGGAATGCACGCGTGTGGCACGTAAACACGGCGTTCCATGCATTGCGGACGGTGGGATAAAGATGGCGGGTGATATCTGCAAAGCCATCGCCGCGGGGGCCGACACCGTCATGGTTGGGAATATTCTTGCCGGCACAGAAGAAGCCCCTGGCCGCGTGCTGGTGAAGGATGGAAAAAAAGTAAAAGTCATCCGCGGCATGGCGGGGTTTGGTGCCAATCTCAGCAAGGCAGAGCGCGAGCAATCGCTGGATGAGGATGTCTTTGCCGAGATGGTGCCAGAAGGGGTGGAGGGCAGTGTGCCCTGCAAGGGTCCGCTGGCCCCCATCGTGCGGCAGCTCGTTGGTGGTCTCCGATCGGGCATGTCGTACTGTGGCGCAACGTGCATCAAGGAGATGCAACAGAATGCCCGCTTTGTTCGCATGACCGGATCCGGTCTGCGGGAGAGTGGCAGTCACAGCATATCAAAGCTGTGAAGGGGGTAAATTCCAAATTTCCATCTAGCTAAAGTGAAAAAAAAAGAAAGAAGTGCATCCATACGTTTATATATATATATATATATATATATATATATATATTATAAAGACATAAAAGATATATCCTGTGATCATTCATATTGTTTTTGTTTATATCTTTGTTTGTTTGTTTGTTTTTGTTTTTGTCTTTCTCTACAAATAATTGTGTGTGTGTGTGTGGTACGAATTGGCTTCATCAATCACTTGGATGACTGCAGCAAAAAGGCGCAATCACTCCCCGCTGCCAAAAACAACCCCACCCCGCCTGCATGGCTCACACACACACACACAAACGAAAAAAAAAAAATGAGGCAAAGAGAACTTTATTGTAAACAGAAGTGGACGAAACATGAAAGGGGGGGGAGGAAAAGAAAAAGAAATAGCGAAATGAAAATTTTAGCGAATATTAAAACAAAACTGAACGGTGGAACAGCAACAGCGGCGCCGGTATCCGCAATCTTGAGAAAGTTGAGAAATTTGTCGTGATAGGGGCAAAGGAAGAGGGGCAGATATTTGCTGTGTGCAACTTACATACGGTCAGCCCCTTTTTTTTTTTTTTTTTTTGTGTGTGTGGGGGGGGGGGGGGTTATTTTATCGGTTTATAATTTTCTCCGCTGTTTTTTGTTGTTTTCGTTTCTGTTTATCCGTTTGTCTTCATGGGATTATGACGTGATGGGAACAGAGAGTAGAAGAGAAGCAACACACTCCATTTTCATTCCAGCGTGGGGACGATGAGGTCCGTGTTCGAGATTGCCAGGAGCCACATTACGCTTCCCGTGTCAAGGGAAATGAACGCTCTCAGACGGGTACTTCGCGACTGGCACCACTACACGGAGAAATTAGAGCTGCAGAAAAAGACCACACATCCCGCGGCATTGTGTGTGACGGTGCATCCATCACGCAACTCCACGGCGTCCCCGCCGCAGGGTGTTTCTCTTCACCCTTCACTGCGGGTCGCGGCAGGAGGTGCATACACGCGACGTGTTCCTCTGCAGCTTTGGACGGCGGTTCTCCCCTGGGAGGTGCAGCGTGGACTCTCAATGAGTGAATTGCGGCTGTCCAGCACCCTGATGGATGCCTCTGATAGTAAACAGGAGGCTAAAAAGGAAAATGAGAATTGTCGATACGCGAGGGAAATGCAGGAGGAGGAAGAGGATCCATTCGGGGTGGTTACTGCACCATCAAAAAGTACGAATGGTGCAATGCGTACTCCTCCGTGTGGCACCAATGCTGCGGCTGTCACGGCCCCTTTCCCGGGGATGTTGTTTGTCATGGACGTTGATTCCGCCGCGCAGGGCGTGAGTTTCTGGAGCGGAGCCATCACACAGCCCATTGACGTGGCGTTCATTTCTCCTATCGAACCCGCAGTGACAAACTCGCGGTCGTTTCAGGAATTACGGCAACGCCAACTGGCGGCAGTGGAGGGTGGTGGAAGGAGCGGAGTGGATGAGAAGAGAGCCGTGCACAACATTGCCCGCTTCTTCCCCGATGGCGAGTTGGACTCCCCGACGGTCACATTCGCCGTGCAGTCCTACTCCCACCTGGACCCGTTTCCGCGGTGCGATAAAACAGGCGGAACAAGACGGCGGCAACACTTGGCGCAGCCAGCAGGTGCAGACCGACGCGATGCTGCCTTTGCCGCTGATGGTGATGATCATAATAATCGCCCCCGCTACGTACTGGAAACGACGCGGTATTTAATTCGTGACAGCGTCGAGACAGCCCTGCAAGAGTGCCGCCAGCAACGCGCCACTGCAGCCGGGGCGTTGGGGGGGGAAAATAAAAGCGTTCATGAGGGGAATGAAGAGGGCATGGAAGTGATCATCACGTTGGAGCTTTCAGACGGCCTAAAGGAGGAGTTGCGAGAAAAAGCCCGTCTGTACACGAATTACGTAATGCCGCTGGAAGAACACATCGCCTACCACATTCGACACCAAAACAGCAGTGTCGTGGGGGACGGAAACAATGACGATGTTCCACGGCGGGAAATGGGAGCTGAGGGAAAAACAGGAGACGATCATGCTCTCGTCTCTACATTTGCAGCCGCTTCACCTTCTTTTTGTTCTCCTGCCACCCCTGTGGGAGAGACGAGGGGTCCAATTCATCCCTCACGGCCCAACACAACGGGCAGGCATTCCGTGATGTTACTTCGCTCTCCGAAACTTGCAGAGGAGCATGAAGACGTGCCGTCGCATCTTGTGCCGTCTGTGAAGGGTAGACATGAGGCCCCTGTTCTTCAACAAGTAGAAAGGGAGCATGGTCAGCTTATCAGCGCCAGGGCACTTGCGCGTTACCCCAATACTTCTTCTCACATGCCCGTTATTCCGCCCATTGACTATGAACTGTTCGACCTCTGTCTACGCCTGGGTTTGTGCCGGCAGGACACCATTTATTACTTCTACGGACGCATCATGCGAGCGTGGCAAAAAGAACTGCACCGGCTGAGGAAAAGTTGTGATGGAAAGAGCAACAGTGAGATCCCGGATGCGGATGTACGCCGTATGTTTCTACTTGTTCGTGACCCCTCGTTGCAGGTACCGGAGGAGCTTTCCGCCTGCGTGGAAGCTGTCGCACGGCGCCGCAACATCACGGAAAAAGCCTGATTCCCCGTGTGATGAGAAGAAAAAAAAAAAAAAAAGGAGAATGCACTTCCGCGTGGTACGACTGTGAAGACGCTCGCTTCTAATGCACACATTTTTTTTTCTTTGCACGAGCAAATCACATTGATATTCAAACACATTAACACACGTGCCCAGAACAACCAATCGAAATGAATCCATCCCTTTTTATTTTTATTTTTGGCTCTCTGTGAAACATGGTGCGGTGCGATGTCTTTGGAGTTCCCTGGTGCGCCTGTCACTCATGCTCTTAAATCCCATATACCTTTCTTCCCTTTGCCGCTTATTAATGAATCATCTGAAGTTTTTTCATGGAACTGTGTTCGCTTCTTTTCTTTTTTTTTTTTTCTTTTGTAATGTTCTTGCTTGGTTTTTTGTTTGTGTGCCTGTTTCTGTATGTTTGTGTGTGTGTGTGTTTACCCCCGTCTTTCATTGCCTCACATGAAATGCGTACAATAGGCAGAAGAAAGAGGGAATAAGGAAGAGTCGGGTGATGTCACGGATACGTTTCAAGGGCGGTGCATGGACAAACAGTGAGGATGAGGTGCTTCGGGCCTCATTGACAGTGTACGGTTTGCAGAACTGGGAGCGTGTGGCTTCCATGTTGGTGCGTAAGACAGCGGCGCAGTGCCGTGAGCGGTGGGAGAATTACCTTGACCCCCGCCTGCACATACGCGAGGCATGGACAGCAGAGGAAGAGGAGCAGCTTGTGCAGCTGCAGTCTCTGTTCACAAATCAGTGGAACCTCATCGCACGTGAGCTGCGCCATCGTACTGGAATGAACCGGCCCGCGTGGCTCTGCGAGGAGCACTACCACACACTCCTTGACGCCCTCGAGTACGAGCGACAGCAGAAGGAGGGCGGAAACAACAAGAGGAATGAGTCACTGACTTTGGAGGACTTTTTGGCGGAACGCAGGCGACATCGCGCCTACCATCAGGGCCATGAGACAAGAGCGTCTAAGGCAGATGCTGTCAACTCGGATGTTTTTGAAAAAGAGATGGTGGAGTTCGCTGTGAGTCGTCTGGCCAATCAGGATGGCAAGAAGGGCCTACGCAAGGAACGCAAAAAGCAGTTGCAACACACAAGTTTTCTTGCAAAGCTGCAGAGCAATCGCGAGGCCATCGAATCTGGCACCCTGTCAGCGAAGGCAAAGAAACGCATGGAACGCGCCATGTTGGAGGACCGCGCAGGTCCCAGCGACACGCGGCTTCAGGACGAAATCCTTGAGGACGACGATGTTGGCAGCAGCGGCGGCAGCGATGTGGGAAATGACGAGTCAAAGCGCGGCCAAAAAGGCGTGTTTCGCCCCATAGACCTCGGCGCAGACAAACAGGAGGCCGGGATTCAGGCAAAACATCGTGAGCTCGTGAAGAACCTCTCGGCGGACATGACGCGCCTCCAACAAGAGGCTACGGTTTCTGAGGGCATCAACGTGGAACTGTTGCGACTGGCAAGCGGCACGTCTGGCTCTGCGAATCGTCAAGTGGAAGACAAGAAGAAGGCGCCGCCAATTACCAGCAAGAGCAGTGCTGCGCCAGGTGCTTCTCCTGCCACTGCGGATCTTGACCATCTCTTTGCATCGCTGCCCGAAGCCATATTGCCCGAACAAGAGTCTGTGGTGGGGGCGCGTGCATCTGTCGATGACTTGTTTGGCACACTGCCGGAACCCTTGCTTGGTGGACGTGTGTCAAGAGACAAGTTCGACGTGGCGGTTGCCACTCCCGAGGATTATGAAGCGGAGGAAGAAGAGGAGGCCGAAGTTTCCTACACCGTCTCCCTAAGTGAGCCCTCGCAGGCGCCGTTGACGGCACTGAACTTCTCCACGGAGGAAGGGAGATCGTGGCTCCGCGAGGCGAAAAGACGCGTGTTGGTGGAGTCTGAAAGCGTCTTTCTTAACCGCAAGCGCGTTCGCCACCACATGTCGTCTCCCACAGAGAAGACGCAATTGATGATGACGACGAAGAATGGGGAAGAGGAAAAGGGACACCTGGAGGAGGAAAGGAAGAAGAAGGAAGAAAAAGATGACGATAAGGATGAAAGTACATGGTGCATCGTGCGTGCTCTTGTGGAGCAGCAGCTGCCCGCCACGGCGAGGGATCTTCTTGAATCCAAGGTGGTGCCAGATGGGTTTTTGGCGAAGAAGGCAAAGCGAGAGAAGGAGGACAGTAGTGCTCGTTACAACAACACGCAAGAATATGTCAAGGAAAGGGGAGGAAACGAAGAAGAAAAGGATACAACCATTGAACTGGCGGCGTGTGTCGCTGCGGTGCAACGCGAGGATAGTGCGGACTTTTGGAAGGATGTTGGCGCCACGGAGGCAACTGTGCAGCTGGAAGAACTCGTGCATCACCAGCGCGAGCAGGTGGCGGCTAACACCGCGAAGGACACCGAAGCCTACCAGCATCTGGAACGCATGGTGCGCATTTGTTTTGCTGGCAGCCGGAAGGAACTGCGTGGCGAGGACATCATAAATCGCGTCTGTGTGTACTGGGGGTGGCGGCTGGAAGAGGCACAACGTCGGTTGGCATTTTACAGTGCCATTCGTGAGGTTGAGCGCCAGGAGATGCAACGGCGAATTAATGATGCCACATGCCGTTTAACGGAAATTGAGCAGAAGGAAAGAACACTGCAGGAACGTTATCGTTCCATGCGACTCGCAGAATAAACAATTTTACTCTTCCTTTTGGTATTATTCATCACCTCCTTTCTTAAGGGCCATCATCCAATTTATATTCTTCTCTTCACTTTTTTTTTTTTTTTTGTGTGTGTGTATGTGTATGTGTGTGATGATCTTGTTGTTGTTGTTTTTTTCCTTTTTTACATGTTTTTTTTTTTTTTTTCCATCGCCATGAATATATGTGTGTATACATATATGCATATATATAATTGCTATGTATATATGTAGGGGATGCTCCGCTGGGTGGTGAAGGAGGTTGAGAGCCCGTATGGGAACGTCGCCACTGTGCACTGGGCGGTGGATGATGGTGATGATGACAATGTGGAAGCGGCCACGGATGCGTTTGATGCATCATTGCAGCAACAGCTGGAAAATGCCGAGGATCAGCTTGGGGCAGTGCTGTGGAACAGTAACGCCGTCGCCCTGCGTTATCTGCACGAGCACGTGCTCCGTGACAAGGCCAGCGCATACCGCGTGGTTGAGCTCGGTGCTGGCGTTGGTTGCCTCGGCATTGCACTGGCGATGGCAGGGGCGCGCGTCGTTATCACGGACCTGAAGGAACTCCTGCCGCTGATGCAAAAGAATATTGAGATGAATGCGGCGAGGATACGGTTAAGGAGCAACGGGCAGGGTTCATGCACGGCACTGGCGCTGCGATGGGGCCCGCCACCGCGTTTAAAGAAGCGAATGAAGAAGCAACAAGAAGACGAGATATCCCTTGGGTCGAGGCCGAAGGAGACATGGCCGTATGCTGGGCCGTCTCCATCGTTTCTGGCGCTACAGCAGGAGTTGGAGCGCGTCGACATGGTAGTGCTGTGCGATGCTCTCTACGGCAACGCGAGGGACTGGCCGCAACTGCTCTATACATTGTCGGAGATCCTCGCAGCAAATCCATCCTGTGAGGTAATCAACTTCTGCGAGCAGCGTGTGAACAATGTGGAGGGGGATTTTTTGCGCCTGTTGCAGCAGGAAAACAGCAAGAGCGTGGCTTCTGATGCAGAGGACGGGAAAGAAAAAGAAGAAGAAAGTTTGGAATCGGCATTAACGCGTATGCGTGGGGCATACGAGTGGTGGAGCGCAACGGAAGTTGTAAGGGAAGGAACGAGCGATTTGGGCATGACCGTCTGCGCCACACGTATCCGTTGGGTGCCGCGGAGGAAAAGGCAAAAGCTCGTTTCTTTCGTTTCGGCGTCTTCATCTTCATTGACAGCCGTTGTTGGTGCCTCCGAGTCTGACGAAGGGCTGCGTGGAAAACGAAGGAGAACGAAATTGTGAGTCCCATGGTGTTTTGTTTTTGTTGTTGCTGTTGTTGTTGCTTGTGGAGTAAGAGAGAAAGAGAGAGAAGGGTGCTTGTGTGTGCGTACTGTGCAGGAGTGCGGTGATTCTTTGTCCTTCTGCCCCCATGCATTTCTTTGCTCTCGCAGATCACCCCATTGGCATAGAAGGAAATAGAGGAGACATCATAGAAGGAGTCAGGTGCACTGGAGGACCCGGTGCGAATCCACAGGGGAGGGAGGGAGAGGAAGCGGGGAAACACGCAAGAAAGGGGGGTTTAGCGACCTGAGAGGAGCGTTACAAAGCTGACAACAAAAACAACAACAACATTAACGAAGAGAACAAGAAGAAGGATCGATTTGGTCGGATGACAGAGATGTGCTTCTCCCCCTGCTCCATATTTCCCGGTGAAGTGGAGGACTACTACTGCACCAGCTGCCACACAACCTGCAGCGGTTTGTCGCTGCTTGTTGGTCCACACACAGGCCACAACCGTGTTCCGTTGATCGATGCTGCCACGTACCTTCCAGCGGCTCTGCAACGCGATGCGAATGCGCTTGTCATGCGGATTCAGGAAGAGTACATTCGGCCAAAAACGACACACTGCAACACCCTCCATACCACGTTGGCACACATGCAGCAAGAGAGGCAAAAAAAGCGAAGAGAACTTGAAGAGCTTCAGCGTGAGTTGGGCACGCTTGATGAGAAGATCGATAATCTTACGGAGGAGTGCGCCATAGCTCTTTGTCATTGGTCCCATCAGCGCGATGGCTTCCTGAGTCAGGTGCGGCGACTGCTGCGGGGCGCAGATGCCCTCGCAAGGACTCTCGGTATACGAGAAAACCAACCAATTGGCACTGAACGCCGCGTGGATGTCGACATTGCGGCATCAACCAACTTCCCTCCATCCTGCGCGCTGCGGGCGGTGAGGAAAGAACTGCATGAAGTAAGACGACTGCTGACACAACCGCTTGAGTGGTTGGAGCAGGAGGACGAGGAAGACAAGGAGGAAAGGGGTGAAGGAGGGAAAGAACTTCGGCTGAGCCATCCTGTGAGGAACGGTGCGGATGCCGTCGTCAGTCATAGAAGCAAAAAGGAAGATTACGGGCAACTCAGCGGCACAAGTAGGACGCCCCGCCACGCCAATGACCATACATTGGTATCATCTGACGCCGAGGCTGTGTTGCAACAGCTCCTCGCGGCACACATGAAACGGCAAGGAGAGCCGCACACACAAAAATCGCCATCCGCTCGGGCTTACGTTGCCGAAGTTGAGGGGACGAGTAGCTGCGATTCACACAATGATGTGCAGGTAACGGCGGAACGACGGCGTTGGAAGAACGACTTCAAGCGGAGGGAGAGACTTCTGCGTGAGGGCCTCAATGTTTGTATGCGCGAAGGCTTTTTTCCGGGGCGAACAACAACGAAAATTGCAGGGGGTGTTGAGACCGACGTCAATGACATGAGCAGCAGTGACAGTGTCAAGGAAGCCGTGGCTCATCTGCTACGCAACTCTCAAAATGATATTTTCATTAACACGACCCCGCGCCAACAGCATCGACCTCCCTCCTGCGCACTGGCGTCTGAGGAGGACTAGACGTGGTGAGCCATCATGCGATGTCACCATTGGTTTGCGGTACTTCTGAATCTGCATGGAAATGGAGACGGCGGGGCACCTGAGAGGGAAGAAAAAAATGTGTTAAAGAGAAGAGCCGGCATCAATGAAAACTGATGGGTATCGTGTGTGTTGTGCGAATGTTTCTTTACCCGCCTTTTTTTTCTCCATTGAGGAAAGAAGGGAGAGTTCTGTCTAATTTTTTTCTCTCTCTCTCTCTCTCTCTTTTTGTTTCCATCATTTGCTCTTGTGCACTGTAGGCCTCTGATTAAACGTCACACCACCCGTGAATGAAAGGCGGTCAATAACAGAATAGAAGGGAAGGAATATTCACCACAGAATCGTTTCAGCAGCACACGTGATGTGTGCATGCATAGATACGCGCAGCGTGCTTCCGCCGCCACCACCACTGCCATGATGAGTCACAAGCTTAGGACACCTTTGGACGCGGAGAATCGCACATGAAAACTCAATGCCTTATCGATTCGTACACTGACCTATCCCTCCCCCACATACATACATACATACCCCTCTTACTCTTCATTATCTCAATGGCTTTTTGGATACCCTTGTATTCACTCATTTTCCTCTGTTTATTGCTATGTAACTGAGGATGATACATGTTATCCGTAAAGGGGTGGGTCCTGGGGCACTGAAACCTATCCGATTTATTCGTGGGTATTATTATTTTCTTTTTTTTTTTTGCGTGTGTGTATTGCAGCGTGTGATGGGGTCGTTGTGTAAATTTCTTTCTATTGATTCCGTGCTCTTCTGCTTTTTTCTCTCCCTAAATGTGTGTGTGTGTGTGTCTGCAGCTCAGGAGAGAAGGGTGGGCGATAAGGGTTAGACTTTGACGGCATCACATACATCATTGTTTCACATTACACCCCTGCTTCTCCGGTGCAACGATGTTGCGGGACACACCGGCTTGTAGATTTGGGACATTATCCACCGCCCTAGCCAACATCGCTCTCTTCACCGCAAATAGCATCGGTGTATGCGATCCGTTTAGTGTGTTGGTTGTTGGTGGGGCTGTTTTTCGAATGTTGCTGCTTCCGGCAACGATTTATGGCGACTGCTGCCTTGCCCGCGTGGCCTGCGCGCTGCCTGAACTGCAGGATGCTCACCAGGATTACAAGACGATCATCGACCACCCCCGTGCAATCCTGTGGGAAAAGAAGGTTGCCGCACAAAAGCTTAAAAATGATCGTGAGCGTATTTTCCGTAACCATCACACAGACAACGTGCGTCTGGTGCTCCTTCATCTCGTTGCCATGGCGGGGTCGTGGTACAGTTTGTGCATCCCGGCACAACAGCTGAGTGAGTTTGTTGGGGCCAGTGCGGTGACTTCGTCCATGATCGTTTATGCGTTTGGTGTCACGATGGATCCAACGATTGGAGTTGCGGCCACGTTGACGCTTTTAAATACTCGCGATCACTTGCAGCGCCGAATTGGTTTTAATGACGGACTCGATGAGTGGATACGGCAGATAAAACGGCACATGACTTTCACCTGGAGCGCCTTCGTAGCAGTTTCACTGCTCGGTCAATGTTTTGCTGGACCTGTCTTCTTATCGTACCTTTTTCCATTTCAACTTGCACCGGTGTGGCTTGGCATTAGCATGATGAGTAGCTGCAAGATTATTCTTGTGAACCACACGGCGCCGATGCGAGCGCTGTTTGGTATCCAGGACTATCCACTGACGCACGGCACGCACGGAGCATTGACCACGGCAGAGGCACATGAATACAGACTAGAGTTTACGGGTGTGGACGCGGAGGAGCGGCGGGATATGTGGCAAACCCAAAAGAAGGCATTGGACTATGAGTGCAATGTACGACTCCACCGAATGCTAAAGCAAATTGGTCTCTTTGATAGTGTTGAAGAAGCCGAGTACGAGGCTGAAAATTTGCGGAGGAAGTTGGATGTGGTCAGAGACCGACAAAAGAAGCGCAAGCAGGAACAAGAGCGCAATGACGCGGAATTGTCTTCCTCGATGGCCCTCTGTGAAGCTGATATTGTGGGACCTTCTGCCGAGTCTGTGGCAGAGCGTCACTTTGACGAGATTCAGGCACAGAACAACGCGCGACGGCAGAGGGGCAGAGGCCTGTGAAAATCCTGAAGGATGCATACCACACACACTCCCTTGCGTATATAATATATACGTAGCAATGGGAAATGATGTATTGTTATGCTTCTGTTTTTTGTTGTTATTGTTTATCTTTCTATTTTACAATTTCCCGTTCGCTTTTCCTCTCTTTCTCTCTCTCTCTCTCTCTCTCTCTCTGTTTTTGTGTGCATATATATATATGGTGAACAGGAGCGGGGGGGTGATGGGGAATGCATTTTTTCGCTGGGAAGCCTGTGAAGCGGACGCGGCGGTGGACACCCTCACATTCCTTGCGGAGGACCCAAATGCGCCTCGGTTTCGTCTCAAGCATGCGGCTGTTGGTACGGCACTGGATTCACATTCAACCGGTTTTTGTTTTTACTCTCGATATGTCTTCTTGGAGGTATTCACGGCGCTCCAGGTCCTTCTGGCTTTCTTCACCCTGTACTTATTTAACTACATGGGAACCATACGCCATTACTACGCCCCTCGAACTGTTTTAAAGAAAGAAGAAGGTTTTTTTTTCCCCCCAAAGGAAAAAGAAGTGCTTGTCCCGCACAAACGCGAAGCTTTGGCCCCTGTTTATTTGGCCGTTGTCGTCATTGGCTTATGTTTTATATTGCTTGTTGCTGCGTACATTGTATTGACAAATAGTGGTTGGTGGGTGTCGCTGGAGACGAAACGGTGGGAACACGACAAACAGGCCGCCGTCTCTTCTCAGCCGAGCCATGGCGAATCACAGCATCGTGTCAAGAGTAGTGGATATCATCTTCGCCGCCTCGGTATTCGATGGATCTCGTGGACACGGCCGTACTACGCCTTCCCACGTCGATACCTTCCGGACTTCGACTATCGACACGAAGTTCATGCGAAATTTGGTGCTCCTTTTACCCGAGGTGATCCAAAGAAGATGTATTTTGTTTTCCTGTCGCCATTTGTGTTTATGCTTACAGTCATGGACATCATGACGGTCGACGAAATGCGGGTTACCGACATGCGGGTGTCGCTTCTACAAGGGTTGTTACTTGCGTGTGGCCCTTTGTTTTTGTTCTATGTGGCTTCGATTTTATTTATGAGTGTGATGATGAGCCAGAGGAATTGCTTTGGGAACACAATGAGTGTATTGTATGCGTGAAATGTGTTATCCATTTACAACTTTCTCTTTCTCTTTCTTTTTTTCTTTTTTCGTGTATACATACATACATATTATATATGTATATATATATATGTGCGTGGGCGTAATTGGCGGGTTGTTGCCGCCTCGACAGGTGTTCTAACACCGCCTTGTACTATTCCAAAAAAAAAAAAAAAAAAAAGAGAGAGAATCACAAACTGTACTGTACGATTATTCAACTCTGCCTGGTTTTTCGAATTGCCTCCGCCTGTCTGTTTGCATGTGTATTCTTTGGTGTGTGGAGGAATTGTTGTTTTCCTTTTTTTTTTATTTTTTTTATTTCTCTCTCTCTCTCCTGCCGCTGCTGTTATTTGTTGTATTCCCCTTTATGTCTTTGACTTTTCTTCTTCTTCTTTGCAGCGCCTCTTCACTTCAGTATGAGTGACATAGCCCAGGTGGGGAATCTGTCGGGCCTGAATGCTAACACTCGCTCTCTAAGCAGGCTCACAGAAAGTAAGGAAGGGGAATGGAGCGAGTTGGATCAGGCAGAACTCGAACGATGTTTCATCGAGACTCAACAGAGTTCCGCCACGCCAGAGTCATTATGTTTTATGTCAATTCTCGGTGGTGTGCAGATAACGACGCCGTACAACGAAACGCCGATATTTGGTGCCACCGAAACGAATAAGACATCATGCAGTTCCACACAGCCCAACTCCACCGTCGCATGCAGCTTGCCACCCGTGTGGTATGGGTTGCCAAGGAGTACTCCCAACACTTCATTTAGACTGGAGCCGTTGCCAGAAGTGGCTATGGATTCCCTGCAGGAGAAGAAAGGAGAGAAAAGGACATGGGTGGATCCTCTCTCGTCTTCCACTTTGAGAGATTCACTCCGGGGAATGCAACCGGTATCTTTACAGAATGAGACAAAAGGATCACAAACGGAGGCGTGGAAATCCAATCCGGTGCAACCGTTGGAAGGTCATTTGCAGAGCCCCCAACGCTGTAAGCTTGGGACGTGTGGACGCAACGAACTGCCCGTTTCCCCATTGGAAGCCCTGGCGCGATGTGGGTGTCATCTCAGTGCGTACGAGAAGGAGGAAGTCTTGGGGTTTCAAGACGTGTACTACTGTGGGGCACACGCCAAGTGCGCAGCTCTGGCTTCTATGCCTCCCAGTGGACTGAAGCCAGCGAAGAACGAGCCTTCTCCTCTGTCCTTTGATGATCACGATCATAACTATCGCATCATCCCTGGAGACCATGTGGGATACCGCTTTGAGTGTATGGACGTTCTTGGCCGTGGCACGTACGGGATTGTGGTGCGAGCTCTTGATTATGCAGCCCGACCCATACCAAAACAATGTGCACTGAAAATAGCGAAAAATCTTCCCCGTTACGCCGAAACATTGAGGAGGGAAGCCGACATATTGGATTTTCTGTGGCACAACAAACCAGAGGCGAGGAGGTGGATCCCGCAGGTGTTGACACGTCTGACATTCCGTTCACATGAAATCCTCGCGATTCCTTTATTTGGACTGGACATCAAGGAACTGCTCCGGGTAAATCTTTTCCGTCCGATGCCAATGGCACTCACGCGGGCTATGACGGCTCAAATGGTGGTTATGCTGCAGCTTCTCTCAGATGCCAACGTCACTCACGCAGATCTAAAGCCAGAGAACATTGCGCTTTTTGATCGAAGCTTGTCCGATGTAACCTTTCCACCCGACATTCAACGACAAATTTCTCTGGAGGAGCAAGAAAGGGATGGTACTAAACTGGATGATGATGGTGATGATCGGGAGCACGACAGCCCTTTGTTTCTAGATTCAGTCAACAGTTTGTTTTCATTGCATACGAGAGGGATACCTGGCATGGCAGCTTCTGAGGAAATAGAAAATGATGGGGAAGATGACGTGGTCACATCACACATAGCAATACTTGACTTTGGTGCAGCCCACGTGGGGAAATCATGTGTCTATCCTGCGCAGAGTACTTTCTATCGCGCCCCGGAGGTGGCACTGCAGCTTCCCTACGGCCCCGCTATTGATATGTGGTCACTTGGCTGTGTCGTTTACGAGCTTGCCACGGGCGTTCCTCTGTTTGTTGCGGAATCCGACAAAGAACTTCTTCAGCGACACATTACAGTGCTCGGTATGCCCCCACCGGAGGTGCTTCAGAGGCTTCACGAAATGCGCACTTCGTCTGGCGACGTGGAGGAGAAAAAGGAGGAGGAAGAAGATGGGAAAATGCGGGACCTTTTCGCATCTCTACAAGTTGAACGAACACCGAATACCGAACGCCCTTCCGCGCAGGTCCTTAATCTCCTGCAGCTTCTTCACATTCAAGAGAGGGAAGAGGCAATCATATCTAATAAACAAACGCAGCAAATGCGACAGCAAAAGAACCATACCGACACGCATCTTGCCAAGGAAGCATACCCCTTAGTAACGGCGACGTCCCCTTCAAGATACGATGGAGATGATGACGACGACGCCGGAGAGACAGTATCGACACTGTTGCTTCTTGACTTTCTTCTTGGATGCCTGACGTGGGACCCGGAAGAACGCTTGACACCTGACGAAGCCAAATGTCATCCGTACCTTGTACCGTGCTTCAAGGAAGACTTTATGCAATGTGACGAGAAGGCAACACTGTTGGGAACGCGCAGTACCGGAATGTACTACTTGCACACGCACGCTCTCACACGTGGTGAGGTGAGAATTTTGGAAGCTGCGGAAAGGGAGTACGCCCAACGCCGAGCTAAGGGAAAGGTAGTGACGAATGGGATGCATCCATTGATGCGTTTGAACGTACGCCATGCCATTCAACCCCTTCGCCGCTTTACTTCGCAGCGGTTTGGTGATGATACGTCCGAGACGCCACTACGTGTCTCTTGCAGATCCATTCGACCAGTGAGAATTGCGGTGGGGGACTGCCTGCAACCGTATACAACAAAATTCTTTGATCCGATCGAACAGGTTGAAGTGTCTATCATGTATTTTGATGAAATTTGAAGCAGTCGTCCGAATGGAAAGAGAAAAAAAAAAAAAGGGGGGGGGGCGTGTCTTGAGCAATGCCAGTGGCGTAAACATGAAACCCGAAATCAAAAGCCAAAAGAAAAAGAAAAAATTTTGATTATTTTTGATTGAATGTAAAAATAAAAATATTTTTTGTATAAAAATGAAAAAAACATTATTTGAAAGCAACAAAACCCCCTTTAAGAGCTATTTTATTCCGAGCTGTGTTTGCTTATTTCTTTTGGGGGGAAGAGGGGGGAAGGTGTGGCATGTGAAAAGGAAGGAAACATAATCGCACACATGCACGCACACACCCTCCCTTCCTCCCTCTCGCTTTTGTTTTCTATTTCTCTATTTTTCTCTTTCTCTCCGATCCTCTTTTTTTCGGGGAGGGAGAGAGATCCTTTTTTGTTGTTGTTGCTTCATTCCCACGTGTGTGTGTGTGTGTGTGTCTGTGTGTTTGTGTGTGTATGGAAGTATGTAAGCCCCCCCTTTCATTGCTATTATTATTATTATTACTAGTAGTATTAGTAGTAGTATTTACGCTTTTCTCGCTGTTTGCAGCACCATCTGTTTTTTTTTTTTTTGTTTGTTTGTTTGTTTGTTTTGCGCGTTGCGCAGGAAAAAAAAAAAAAGAAAAAAAGTGGGGGAGTGGGTGCTTCTGCCAAATGTGAAGAGCCAACCGGCCGTATAAAAATTTCCACTAATTACATTAAATAAACGTTTTCGTTTATTTTTAATGAGTGTTTGTTGTAAAATGCGTTTTTCCTCCGTTCCCGCTCCCTTTGTTGTAGTTGTTGTTTGTTTTTGTTTTTTCTGTCTCTCTCTCTCTCCGTGTGGGTGTGTCCTTGTCATTTACGTTAGAAGGACCCCACCACCCCCATCACTGCCACGACTGGACACACAACGTGCAGGAGGAGGGGGGAAGGTGTGGAATGGAACGTGATTTCATCTTCCCCGCATCATTTGCCGGTAGAAGTGACCAACAGGGCGTCGTTTCGGTACTCCAGCGCCACGATGCGGTCAGGATCCGCGCTGCCCATCGTATCCCTTCCTTTTCCGTCGCAGTGGAAGCGGTATATCAGTTTCTTCGCTCACTGCCGCCGCCGCCGCTGCGGGGGTCCATTCGTGAGGTCCGAGTGGTGGCCGCGCCCTCCGCGTCGTACTTCACCGTGGAACTCACGAGCGAGTGTCAACGGCACGGTGAGCTGGACGTTGCCAAGTTGATCTCCTGCCATGGCGAAGAGGCAGAGCGGATGTCAGATCTCACGGCTGTCAGTCAAGAAGTAAGGCTAACTTGTGCCGTGGAATCGTCATTGCAAAGGACACGCGGTATTCAAGACACGGCCCACTCCTCAGAAGGCATGGGAATACTCTTTGAGGGGCATTGGAAAGGCACAGAGATAAACAAAGGCGAAGACCATTGGAATGGCATTTCTGCGGTGTTAACAACAAAACTACAGGCATATCTACGGTTGTTGGCAAAGAAGCAAAAAGAGCATCAACCCTCTTCGTTATTTCTTCACCTGCGCTGCGAAGTTCGTAATCTCTTCTACTGTATGCCTGTACGACAGCGTTGTGCAGCAGGATGGAGTTACACATCATATCGACTTCGCGCTGAACGGCAGGCCCTTCTCTCAACTGCGTATCGCATGGCTGTAGAATGCGTTTTTGCACCTTTGTATCTTTCCCTCAACGAAGGCGCGGGAAGCAGTGCCTCGTTTTATTTACATCTGAGTAACAGCGGTGATGGTCGAAATAAAGCTGCCAATGATAACGCTGATGTCTTCTATGTACATAATTACCCGGTGCAAAGGAGTAAAGAAATGGTGGAGCAGTTAAAAAAGCGGCGGCGAATGGAACTGGAAAGCAAAAATGATGATGGCGATCGTTCATGCACACTTCGCACTGCGCACCGTATCCTTTTCTCGTTTTTTCCACATCTCCGCCTTTGCGCGGAATCGTTGGAATGCTCCAATGGAATTGCATCGTCGCGTCTTCGCGAAGTTGTGGTGGATCCCGGCAAATTTGTCGTCTTGTTCCTCATCCCAGCGTGGGATGCACATGATGCAACCAGACGTGTGGGCCGACGCCCCTCTGCGTTAGGCACAGTCGTGGTCTGCAGGCACACAGAATCCACGGCGTGTTATGTTGTGGATGAGTCACACCGAGTATATCTTCAGGTTTTAAATTCCTTCACTACGTTGTGTCCGATCATTGTATTTCTGGAGGGTAACCTCTTAGAGAGCAACGATGCCACGCTTCGGAGGATGTTTCAGTCAGCGGAGAGAAAGTACTTGTGTGGTTTGGGTACAGATACAGCGAGGGCAATCCACACACCAACAAGGGAAGATCCTCTTTCTGTTGTGGGGAAACTGATGGCGACAAAGGATGATTCGGGCGAACAAAAAATTGTGGGGACAGCGCTGCGCGTATCGTTTTTGGCCCAACGCCTCTCTTCCGTGAACGGTACGAAAAGAGCACGGTGTTTTTGTGGCGCCCCAATTTCGTCCTTCCCGCGGCGAACCCCTTTTTTTCCAATAAAATTGGGTAGAAACTCGTGTGGCACAAGTACACTCTCACAGGTGCGCTCCGCCATGCACTTGACAATTGATCCCTCTCTCTTTGCGCCTCGCGCTTACTCTGGTCCATCTGTGTGGCCGGGTCCCGGTGAGATGGAGAATAAGGAGAGAACGCCTTGTCCCTTCCGCGCGAAGCACCTCATTGCACAATGGGATCGAAAGTTCCTTGTTCTTCAAATGAACGACATGGATGAGCATTCAGACACCTCTCCATTTGATGAAATTGGATCTCCCCCCTCGACGTCAATTAATGGCATGCCAACGATGGGTGTGCCTCCAGTTTTGTGTAAGCAGCCGCAGTCTCATCATTTACCCCCACCCGCATTGTACATTGTTGATCCGCATGCTATTCATGAAAGATTGCGGTTAGAGTTTTTTTTGACGACTGCAGAATCGTACGTGCGTCGAGACATTCGACCCATCTCCGTTCCCGTGCATATACCAGAGGAAATCCGCCGCGATGTTACGACCTACGAGGATTTCCTTGCGAAGTGGGGATGGCGCTTTGCACACGAAAACCTTCAATGCACTGGATTAAGGTCCGCAATGGCATCAAAATCAAGATATACCCAATTGTCATGGTGTTGTGTGGCGGTCACGCAGTGGCCTCATCTTGAAATTGAGGGGCATGTGCTACAATTAGAAACCATTGATGCCCTTCGCAAAACCGTGGAGGAGCTCGTTACGGTCCTTCCATCGTGGCAAATGCCTGCCGCAACTGAGAAGGAAAGCTCAAAAGAATGCGATTGGATTGGAGAGAGCGCCGGCGCCCGAGTTGTGCCTTCTGCTGTTCTTGAATTTTTGGTCACACGATCTTGTCGAGGAGCCGTCATGCTTGGTGATTCGCTCTCTACAGCTACTATGGTGCAACTCATCGGCGCACTGCAAGCGGTTGAACAGTACACTCTTTGCTCACACGGTAGGCCTTCCTTCGCCGTTATTCACAGCCGAAAAAAGTAAACAGAGCACTTTGAAATCATCATTTTGGGAAAAATCCCTACCAATCTTCACCAATTTTTCAGCATGTAGACATATATATATATATATGCGCTTATGTGTGTGTATAAATTGGCTCTCAATCGACTTATCAGATTTTATTCTCATTTGAATGCTTTTGCCGCCAAGACGGTTCCGTGTTTTGTTTTTAAACTGCTTTTTTTCTTTCAAGCTTTGCTAAAAACAAAATGTTTCAGACGCAGCAAGCTCATTTTTCCCACAGGATCGAAAAGAAGGCGCCGGTGGGGTTCAATTGTATGGGGCTTATGAAGACCACGGGGCTGTGCGAAGTATTTTGTTATCTGTTCCAGTTTCTCTGTTTTTTTTTTTTTTTTTTGACATATTTATTTTGAAGTGTGCTTGCTTTCAAGCGGCTTATCTATCATTCCCATCGTCACGGCATCCATAGGAACAGTGCGAGGGTTTACGGGATGGAACTTCGACAAGCCGAACCTCGAGGCATTCAATAATCCCAAAAGAGACCACTGGTTTCGGGAATTCGACAGAAGAAAACAGCGTTTGCGCAGTGTGTGGAGCCATTGAGTTACCTATTGGATTACTCTCCCGGTCAGCTTTTTGTCGCGTGTCTGGGCATTGTGGCTCTGGAGTTGTGTTCTTCGGCGCGCACGTCAGACCCACGTCGCTTCTTGGGATGAGGAAAGGGAACTCTTTAAACACAAAGGCGCGCGACTGTTGACGATTTGTGGAAGGACACTGTGTTACGGTCCGTCACCTCGACGAGCGATGGGAACGAATTGAATTTGAGGATCTCCGTACAGCATGCGCTGCTTGTGAAAAGGGCGGGTATTATTTGTAGAGCCATGGAAGGGACCGTCGCAGAATGGTCTGGCGGTGCCTTTTGCGGCGGTGTTGGACAAACCGTCAGGACAGGGATGGTGGTTCACCGCATGGCCAAAGGCAAGCAACGCCCATGAGGACGCCGGGGTCATGGTTGCTCTGCCATTTCACATTTCACAGTATCTTAGCGCAATGTGGAACGAAGCCGCCGCTTTACTGGACGTGGATGCGTCTTTTTACAGGCAGCTCTCTTGGCGGATATGCACGGGCGAGTTTCGGCTGTCGAGTGAGATTCGTGGATCTCGTGGAATTGACTCGCCCCCACACGGGCCACGAGTGTTGTCCGGAAGTTCCCCGCACCGCTGCGAGGGTCTTGGCGGAAGGCCCCGAGATGGTAAGACCGCAGTCTGTGGTGCCGCGCGTGGCAAGGAGACTTCTGTTTGGATTTGCGGTATTCGGACCAGTGGGCTGCGGAGGAGTGTGGTTCAGCGGGGCCCCTGTCAAGAGCTGTGAAGCTATTGGTGCATCCTTCAGCCGCGAGACGAAGAGCGCCGCCTTGAGGCACGATGCGAGTACGAGGATTGAGGGAGGCCGCGTGTCTCTGAAAGCATGCAGCTGAGGGTGTGGATGGTGTGGCCTCCGTATGATGCTGTGCGGCGGTGCGGGGAATTCTCTCTTTTGACATTGGCTCTTGTTTTTTCAACATATTGCATCCCCGACTGTCGTGTCCTCACGATCCCGCAGACGTGCCGCCATACGCACCGAAACTGCGGCAGGAGCGACCCCGCAAATTGCCGGAGAAGGAGCCCGGCCGCTTCTTTGAGACGTGGACGGGCCAAATTTTGGAAACGCGCGACCCGTGTCGAGTCGTTTGCGGTGATAAGGTGCTCGGCGGTATTGTATTCTCGCACCTCGCGGCGCACGCGCCTCCGTTTTCACTTTCCTTTTCGCACAAGCTTCCGTAAAAAAAGGCAGTCGCCTTAACCAATTGGTCGCGTTTGCTCGCCAAAAATCGGCGAAAAACAACACATAACATCCATTGGTTTTTTCAACATTTTTTAATTCTGTGACCGAAGAAATGGTCAAACAATTCAACGCCTTTCTGAACAAATGAGTTTTTCGAACCTTCAGTGTTTTCCTGGCCGTCGGCCGAATCCTCAAGTTATCTATAATAGAAAACAGACCAGATAGGAATAAGAAGGGGATGAATGGAACAAGAGTGGATTCACCATATCCTCCAAGTGTAAAAGCTAGGAAGTGTACATTTATATATCATCCGTTAGCCACAGTCGCGGCCCGCTCACTCTATTCGGATGGGATGTATATATATGTATATATTTATTTATTTATTTATTTATTTATTTATTTATTTATTTATTTATTTATTTATTTCTTACGAAGTGGCAGACTTTGGGTTCTTCCAACCAAAGGGACGCCGCCGCATGGAGGGAATCGAAAGAGGGTGGGTGGGAAGGTAAAATAAAAATAAGAGTAATCCAGCCGCCATCGCTTCCCTGCTCCCCTAAAGTCGTGTTCTTCCAAAAAATTCATGCGGTAGAAAAGTGTCGTAAAGAAGCGCATTCCTTTTGTCAGGACACATATAAATTAATTAAGGCAGCCAGCCCTCCCACGATCATGCTCTCCACAAGCTCCCGACAAAAAAAAAAAAAAGGGGAATAATCTTCTTTGGCGCTGGCCGGATCCTGAAATTTCCTATAGAAACCAAACAAGATAAGGAAAAAGAGGTTTATCGCAGCGTTAGTTAATCGCCTCAATGGTTCCTTTTTATCCAATCAATAAATTCTATTGACCGTTCGCATGGTATTTTGTCCTCAGCTAGAATCTGAAAGATAATTACTTACGAAGTGGCAGGCTTTAGGGTCTTCCAACCACAAGACCCTGCCGCTCCCCTTCGCAAGTCCCACCCCTTCGCCAATTCCTGAAGTGTAAAAACACGACCGCGCGATATGCCGTCTGCGGGGTTTTCTGCAGACCGCACGTAGGCAAAGGATGCCTGTAATCTGCGAGAGTCCAAAAACTCATATATCCGTCGCAGCTCTCACGTCAGAGCGTGCGATTTTGAGCTGCCTTTATTCGCCGCTCCTTGCAGCGAAGCGCTGTCCACCCAAAAGCCCATGGTGGATGGCAAGATGGCGGAAAAGGCCGATAAGGCTGAGCGTGCCGCGCGTGCCTCGGCCTGCATGATAAGAAAAGACTTCCTCTCCCACTTTCCTCCGGCAATTTTAACGTCGCCGGAGTCTGGAATAAAAACGGCTCCCCATCCATGGAGCGACGCATCCGTGATGATGGCGGCCGATGCCTTTTCTGTGGGCTTGATCACTCGCTTACGATTATATTCTCGATGATGTGTCGTAATCTCTCGCCCAAACCAACCGCTGACGGCGGAAGGTTCGCCGGGGATGTCTCCAGCACCATTCCCCGGTGAAGTGCGGATAATCGTCGTCGCACTGCCTTGATAAAAAAGTAGTAGTCATATAAACGCGTGCCCAAAATGGCAGCCGCATTCAAAAAGCGGGACGCCGTAACCTCCATTTCTGCGATGGTTAAAGAATTGAGCGCCGGCATGGCGCATACAGACCGGACAAACTCTCACTCAGTGACACCGTCTGGTGTGTCTGAGATCAAACTGCACCCCCAGAAAGGTGTACTGCGTGGCGCCCGATTCGCGTTCCTCCCCCATCGCGGCGTGACGGCCGTCCGCATTACGAAGCACTTGGGCCTCCCACAATGTCACATCGCTTTTCGAACCTGCAATGCGCATATTATCGATCCATACGACGATACGCACCAATGGAGGCGCAGCCCAGAGGAAGTGAACCACCGTCGTCACCCCCACAATTGCCAAGGAAATAATAATCTGGAGAATTTCCGGGCTGGCCTTGTATCCCATTGGGAGCCGTGTCAGCTCCACCAGCGTGCCGTCCTCCACGCGGCACCGAAAGAGATGCCGAGTCTCCTGCGGTAAAGAGAAATGAAAAACAGACGCCTTCAAGTCCAGGCAGGAAGCGGCCTCAGCCATCACAGGCGGCAAACAATGGGAAATGTGCAAAAGAGGAACATTAGCCTCGTAAAGGTCTTCTCTGTTCTTGTCGCGTGGCCACGCGATCCATCGTCGTCGTAAACCGGCGCTCTTCTCCTCAACAAAAAAAATACTTTTTTTGTTTTCTACTCTTACCAGCGCGTCTAGCTATACAATGCCATCTGAGTGCCGAAGAGGTGGTCGAGCAGCGACAAAAGTTTCCTGCTATGAAGCAACTGCCATTGAGAGAACTTTTCGGTGCAGAGGTCCTGTTCAATGCCCAGCCGTTGGCGCACAGCCAAGGTGCCTGGACATTCTGGAAGCAGATGGTGCAAGGCCTCCTGCGGGCCAATTGGCGCGCTTGTGGAAGCTGGCTGATCCTGTGGTAGCAGAGATCGCCTCCTGGCACTTCTGTTTCGATGTCGAGTGGCGTCTGGGTTGTGTGCGCAGCGACTTCTGTGCTGTGCGGTGCTTCTACGTGTGGGGAAAACCATGTCACAGAAATCGCATTTGAGCTCGGGAAGCGGTGGAGGATGTTCCGGATGAAATGACCGACAGTGACTGACGAGATTCGAGAATCCCGTCAATGTAGAATCGCAGTACGGACATTTCTCCTTCCGACGACGTGTGATGGTCCGTCTCCTTACTGGAGAGACGTCTTCCTCCCTTGCCGACGGGGGAACAGTGTCCGTCCCCGGTGCAGTTGGATCGTTGTTGGAGCGCATATATGCAGATTGTTCCGGTGAGATGTTGCAGAAACGGCATTGGTTCGTGCAATCTCTCACAGCCCAGTATAGTCGACCCCAGAGCTCAGATTCGCCGCACCTTGCCCTTGCGAGGTGAACCAGTTCTTGACGGTGAAGAACTTCCTGAGTGATCAGGTCCTTGCCGCTGAGATCTGATGGCCTTGTGCCGCAAAGCAAGTAGCGATGAGTGTCTTGACGAATCGTACTACGCCACTTATTGGTGAGCTGGGTAGTAAAACATGTCAGCAGATCCGTATGCCATATATGTGCGATTCCATGCTCCGTGTATTGTCCAGTCTCCATAGTCTGCGTCGCATACTGATCCGCAAGCTCGTTAGCATGTATTCCACAATGTCCGTGAAAAACTGCAGGCGCACGGA